ATACAGACTATTAGAGTAACAGGTGTGTAGCATCGCTAACTAGCTAGCAACAAGCCTCCAACACAGTGCGTATGCTTGCGGCTAATCTAGCAAACGAATTAACAACAGAGTGATTTTAGATGTTTTAGAACAGGGGTGTCAAACTCAAATACACAGTGGGCCAAAATTAAAAACTGGAACAAAGTCGCGGGCTAACGTTAATATTTATTGAAAAAAAAATCTTCCTCTAGATATAAGAAGGAATCTTTTCTTATAGACTCAAATACGTTTTGCTGAAAAACTGAATATGGAACAAGCAAAGCTTAATACTAAACAATACATATATTAGCTGTATAATACCAGTAGGCCTGCTCTGATAGTAATTTGGTATGGCTTCGCGGGCCAAATGTAATTAGGCTGCGGGCCAAATTTGGCCCGCGGGCCAGAGTTTGAGACCTATGTTTTAGAACTATAAGATGATAAGCTGTGTGTCTTTTTTTTTTATAACAGTGACATGGTTGTATTTACCTTAATTAAACGAGTCGTCAGTCGCGGTAAACCAGCAAAAAACTCGAGCCGCCAGGCTACGTAAAAAGTGTAGAGAGGCGTGTTTGCGGTCATGTCCAGCGGGTGTGTGGGCGGGAGCGTTATAAAGTCACTCCACCTCAAGTCACTACTGCGCAGACTCTGGCTCCAAATTTGCAAGATGGCAGCCTCCACAAGCGGGATATTTTGGCTTCATTTTTCATTTTTGCACAGTGGTAGGAGGCGGCGCCGAATTACAGAATTAGTAATGTGTCACGTGAAGATTCATCAGCCAGAATAAGTGTTTACTGACAATTGACAGTGATAGCGGACATCATCATCACTATTCCAACAATCCTCTCCACACAGACAAGCATAAACACACTTGACTATCACTAAATCAAATTAAACATGCATTTGTAATGACGCTACTTAAGTTTACAGTACGGTTCATTTGCTCGGTCAGCAGGTGGCGGTATCTTCGTACACTGGGGAGTAAACTGCCATTAAATCAAACAGAAGAAGAAGAAAAAATCCGCACATGCGCAGTACGGATCGGGTAGACCCGATTTGTACGGTCCGACTTTGCACATGCGCAGTAAGGATCGGGGAGTCCTGATCCGTAACTATCTTTTCATTTTTTGTTTTTGTCTACATTATATTGAAAGGCTTCATTATTGCAAACATTTTAAGAGATACTTATTATTCTTAACATCTTAATAGATACTCTGACCCATAACTATCGTAAAAGGCTTTGACCGGAAGTAGAAACCGTTCGCACATGTGTGGTACCGATCGGGTATCTGGTTTGGATCGGGTAGTGACACGCTCTCTCACCCAGGAAACACACAATCACAGAGAGAGCGTCACCTTGTAACCATGACAACCATAATGCTTCCGCCAGAACATAGCTGTCAAACAAAACCCAAACATTTAGTTAGTGCATTCTGGACTTACTGACCAATCAAAACACTGACAAAACACTTTATTCTTTAAGTCACACACACATTGTTCTGTTTTATACATGCAGTTTATGTGCAGCTGAAAGATGGGACGCAGGTATTGAAATACTGACCTTGAAATTTACCGACAACCTGCCCTACTTCTTCAGCCTTAACTGCTAATCTATGTCAATATTGACATTTCAAGGTGTTCGAGGTATATAGGGCCTAAAAAATTGACCAAAAATAGATTCAGATTATATTATTGATGATGATAACAACAGTTTGATAGAAAAGCTGGCTGAGATTGTATATTTTGGTAGTATGGACACTGCTCAGGTGAAGCAAGAGCATAAACTCTGTGAGCCTGATTCTTTAAGGTCCCTCAAGCTCATCCCAAGCTGATTGATTAGACAGCCAATGTGACAGAGTTACGCACATTTACAATAACAAATGTCTGCAAGTACTCTGGATCATTTTCACAGGGAGAGGAACAGGACTGCTTGAATGAAGCTGTGAAGAACATTAAAGTAGAAGAGACCCATGTTTAAGGGACAGAATAATGTTTCTTTAATGTTTGCAAAGGCAGCAAAGTTGTAGAACACTGAGTGTGACTGAGTGTGAGATGGGTGTTTCAGGGAACGAGGGCAGAAGGAAGCAGCAAGGTCACACAGCGGAGGGAAAATAATAAAGTAGTTACAATAACAGCCTGATTCAGTGTTCAGCAGTCATATCAGTGAAACACAGCCTGCCCCACCTATCCTCTGTCTCTGTGGAGTTACATAAACCTGGGCCAAAGAGCAGGAGTCAGTTGGAGGTATAGGCGGCCCACAGACGTACAGACGTGCAGTATGCAGCTTTGAAGAATTGAAAAGAACACAAATCCATTCATCTGAGGAGAGAACTAGCTCCAAGCTCCGATTCTGTGCAGATCAGGCTTCAGCAGTTATCAGAATCAACCTCCGAAGTCCACAACAGAAAAAGCTTTGCATAAAGCAGCAGATAAATCCCATTACCAAGCATGTAAATTCTACTTACACCAAAGCATAGCATTAACCTGCAAGCACTGCTCCAATGTGATCAAATGTGGTTCGTCATGTGTACGGCAGGAACAACTAACAAGGCACTGGGATTCGGTCTCTGGTTAGCTCAATCTGCGAAAACAAACCTATGCATTCTCCAAGCAATGCCTTTCCCACTGAAATTAATAAAGTTAACGTCAGGTGTGAAAAGCGTTTGAAACTTGCGGTTGTGAATACAGGTCCTTTCTAATAAGTTTGTGGAGACGAATGTTAGGAATTATATCAACCTGTATTTCCCGACCTTGGTTCATGTCATTTCTTGTCATCAAGCGGGCAGGTTCACCGTTTGTGGTGTTGGGATTTATGTGGCAGTATT